ACCTGAAAAATAACCAAAACCTTGTTGTTTTTCATCTTACCAAATTTTGAGTACTGTTCATTTTCTAGATTTCTTTTCTTTTCAAGAAACATTGTTTTATTGTCCCACCACAAGATTAGGGAAATGTCAGGGCTGGGAGCTCTGGGGTCACTCCCCTTATAATATCCTGTTTCACGCAGAAATCCCTTTTTTCCTTTTCCAATAAAAATGAATATATAGAATAGAAGAGATCTGTCTTCAGTTTGGTACAATTAACATGGTATGTAAACAGTTTAATTCCATACACATATATAACACACACTACATCTACATGTACACACCAGTACAAGGCATATGTATTGAATACATAGATCGAAGTATTCTATAATTAGTAGAACGAAAGCAGTTATCTCGAGAGTAAAACACATTTTGTTTAATAAATACAGGAATTATTGTATTGTCAGCCTTGCTGTTTTCTTAAGTTAGTGGGATGTTAAAAAGATTAAGTAATCTTTTAAAATTGTGCAATTCTTTGTACCTAGAGCTTGTTTAATGGTTTCAATGGTAGCTGGAACCTTCATACAGTATGACTCATTTATTAGACCCATTTTGTACAGAACTGAGTTGGTTGTAAATTAGGACATTTTGTTACAAAGAAAAGGATGCTATTCCATGCATTTCTACTAAAAAGATCGAATTTCATATTTTTCACCTTTTTATGACATTTCTATAATTTCATATATTACTATTCTTGTTTGAGTTATATCCCTTGAACAAAAAATAAATATCGATTTTTTAGTTTGTCTTTGGTAAAAATGTGATAACCATGGGTAATAATAGGTATTTAAATGAAGTGATATTGTGATATTCTTAGTTTTAACTGCCGGAAATTATAAAATGATGTGATATTTACAAAAAAGAGGGTAAAATCGAAGAAAAAAATATCCCTAGTAAAGATTTTCTTTCTGTTTATAGCCGCTGAATTATCTCCCTTCTCAATGTTTATAAAATTCTGAAATTAACAAAGGACAATAACTCTTCCAATGGTCACCAACTTTGCATATCAGAAAGCTACAAAGATTAGAGTAAGTCTATATGCTATGATAAATACTGATAAAGGAGAATTATACCAACAGAATGCTATATACCACCCTTTGAAAAAAAGCATCAAATGAAATTGTCAAATTGGAAAGAACCACTGTATACAAAATGCGATCATCAATACAAAAGGGATATGCAAGGGCTTACTCATGAGTTGAGAGCCTTAAATTTAAGGGGTTGACTTTTGGCATACATATTGCATCATTTTTCAACATAATCCTCTTCAATATCTATACACTTTGCCAGCGTTGTTTATGGGTTATAATGCCACTTTTAAAGAAATTCTAATGATGGACCCATGTTTCATCCATAGTTACCAACCTCTGTAGAAAGTTAGCAGGATCTGTCTCTAAAAGTTTCAGTTTAGCACGCGACAAAGTCCTCCTGGTGTGCTTCTGATCAACTGTCAGTAGTTTTGGTACCCAACGGTCTGAAAGCTTTCTCACTGAAAGATCTTCCATAAGAATGGAATGTACACTTTCCTGTGAAATCCCAACTGTACTGGCTATAGATCTCTGTAACTCGGCAGTCAGCCATAACAATATCATGGACTTTATTGACCATTTCTGGGATTGTAACAGTGACAGGCCTTCCAGGATGGGCGACATTCCCAAAGCGCTGCCTGACATGCTTAAATTCCGCCAACCACCTTTACATTGTAGCATATGCCGGGGCATCATTCCCTAGTGTTGCTACCATATCAGTGTGGATATCCTTAGGTGCTAGACCATTCTTATGCGAATATTGAATCACTGCTCTTTCAGCGATTTTGTCAATGTTGCAAAAGGCACTTACCTAGTTTACTTTAGGGTGCTTCCTCTTTGATATCAACTGACCAAATGTCACTAATCTTCAGGTTCACAGCCTTAAATAGTCAGGGAATAGTAGAGCTGAAAAAAGACATCCCCGCTTAACTTCTTCAATTCCAGGCTCACAACTTATCAACCAGTCCTCGTGACAACACAGTTTAACCAAAATTCCAAGTTGGAATGACGGAAGAAATTAAATTACTGTCTTAAAAAACTTAAAAATAAAGCGCATCTAAAAAGCATCATAACATGTAATTTTAACAATGGTAAAATAATGTCTTGATGCCCCTGTCATGAGACAAGCTGTAAAATAGACTGCTGGTATATGACCAACATATGGGAATTAAACCATGGAAATTCCACTTACGTGCCACAGGTTTGGTGATTTTAACAAACAACACTCTTAAAAACTGATTTTGATTTGTATCTAGTAACGATGACACATGACTCATCTATAGTTAGTTCGTCAGTAAAAAAAAAATCCTCCAGTGCACTGGATACACAACAGGCCTAATGGGACTGACACTTGTATTCCATTTATAACATGTAGGGATCCTTTCGATGCCTTATAAAAGGGTGTGTTGTGTCCCAGTGTATGATGTTAGGGTGTGTTGTGTTCCAGTGTATGATGTTAGGGTGTGTTGTGTTCCATTGTATGATGGTAGAGTGTGGTGTTTTCCAGTGTATGAAGGCAGGGTGTGTTGTGTTCCAGTGTATGATGGTAGGGTGTGGTGTGTTCCAGTGTATGATGGTAGGGTGTGTTGTGTTCCAGTCTATGCAAGTAGGGCGAGGTTTGTTCCATTGTATAATGGTAGGGTGTGGTGTGTTCTAGTGTATGATTATAGGGTGTGGCGTGTTCCAGTGTATGAAGGTAGGGTGTGGTGTGTTCCAGTGTATGATGGTATGGTGTGGTGTGTTCCTGTGTATGATGATAGGGTGTGGTGTGTTTCAGTGTATAATGGTAGGGTGTGTCGTGTTTCAGTGTATGATAGTAGAGTGTGTTGTGTTCCAGTGTATGATGGTAGGTAGTGCTGTGTTCCAGTTGTGATGGTAGGGTGTGTTGTGTTCCTGTGTATGATGGTAGGGTGTGGTGTGTTCCAGTGTATGATGGTAGGGTTTGGTGTGTTCCAGTGTATGATGGTAGGGTTTGGTGTGTTAAGTGTATGATGGTAGGGTGTAGTGTATTCCAGTGTATGATGGTAGGGTGTGGTGTGTTCCAGTGTATGATGGTAGGGTGTGGTGTGTTCCAGTGTATGATGGTAGAGTGTGTTCCAGTGTATGATGGTAGGGTGTGGTGTGTTCCAGTGTATAATGGTAGGGTGTGGTGTGTTCCAGTGTATGGTGGTAGGGTGTGTTGTGCTTCAGTGTATGATGGTAGGGTGTGGTGTGTTTCAGTGTATGATGATAGGGTGTGGTGTGTTCCAGTGTGTGATGGTAGGGTGTGGTGTGTTCCAGTGTATGATGGTAGGGTGTGGTGTGTTCCAGTGTATGATGATAGGGTATGCTGTGTTACAGTATATGATGATAGGGTATGCTGTGTTACAGTGTATGATGGTAGGGTTTGGTGTGTTCCAGTGTATGATGGTAGGGTATGCTGTGTTACAGTGTATAATGGTAGGGTGTGGTGTGTTACAGTGTATGATGGTAGGGTGTGCTGTGTTCCAGTGTATGATGATAGGGTGTGGTGTGTTTCAGTGTATGATGGTAGAGTGTGCTGTGTTCCATTGTAGGACGATAGGGTGTGGTGTGTTCCAGTGTATGATGATAGGGTGTGATGTGTTCCAGTGTATGATGGTAGAGTGTGCTATGTTCCATTGTAGGACGATAGGGTGTTGTGTGTTTCAGTGTATGATGGTAAGGCGTGTTGCGTTCCAGTGTATGATGGTAGAGTGTGGTGTATTCCTGTGTATTATGGTAGGGCGCACTGCTGCAACTAAAGTGGGTCAAAACAGAGTAAGGAATTTTCGTTCTTATTTTCTACCAAAGGGACGTCAAAGAGACCAAAATAATCTACTGTCTCCAGCTGCAACACTTTGGATCTTGATCTCTACCTTTCTTTGCTCGTTCTTTGCTTTTGTTTTGTCCAGTTTTTGTTTTGTTGTCCCTCTCGACAATCATCATCAAAGGACCCTGGCTGTTGAGAGGACATTAAAAACTATAGAAAACTAAATGTATGTAAGTGTCTTATTCTTGTACTTTCAGTTGTCCTGGTTATTTTATTTATCTATAAACAAATACGAAGTTTACCTATTTATCATATCTGCAATTTGCGATGTATGACGACAATACTTAGATTTTCACTCACTTTCCCAAGATCCGCCCGTGTAAGACTGTCATATACAAATATAGGTCATATTGACATTGATATATGATTGGTGTAATGAAAATAAATCTATCATATTTTTTAATTCTTATTTCTTTATTTTCATTATTTAGAATACACAGTACGTAGTAATTCCTGTCTATTTTCCTGAGAGGTAAACCCGCTGTGAGATAACAATATTCCCTTATGAGGCTGGGGTAATTGAGGGACGTAGTATTTTCTAGTACCGTTGTTTGCATGACCAAAGTTCAGTAAAAACTTCATCATTGCTGAATGAACGTTCTCTCGTCCTCTTACGTAACCATCGCTAAGACACGTAGTGGAGGACGCATATCGACATCATTACACAAGAGTTGCGTCCCTTGTAAGATAACCATTGTCCACTGCCTATAACATGAAGTCCATGTATGAATTCGGCAATAAATGATAAATCGAATTTCGATTTATTATTGCTGATAACAGTTCGTGTTGTATATTACCTACTAAGATATGACTGACAAAATAGTGATGCCCTTACATTTGTTATATAGGTAGTAAAACTACTAGTATTCAGTCGTATTAACTACTAGATCGCACTAAGGCACGTATGGACACTACCACCACTAATACTAGTTGTTGGTTGTTATATATTGCACCTCCTAAATCAGAATCTCAAGTTCTCGTCACAACATTCAAACACTGCAATCTATCTCCGGTTTTACTTGCTGACGTAGTGTCAGCATGCTGCCACATTACGCCATTTTGATGATTAAAGTCTTCTGTTTTTTGTCTTTTTGGCTTTTTATGTGTTATATTAGTTCTTTACTACCACGTCTTCTCGCAAGAGCTGCTAAATCTCGCGTGGTTTTCATTGAACAAGTCCGAGGCCGGAACTCATCTATTTGATCATCGTCCTCTGATTCCTCGTCGTTTAACACTGTAACACTATTGGCACTTCTGACTCCATAGTTTTCTAGGTCCAATGTTATGTCTATGCTGGTGTTGGACTGAAAACTCGTATTGGACTGCAGACTCGTGTTAGAACTGGTTACTGTCGGTCTATCCCGGAATCCTGCCCTGCGCTTGGCTTTGTTCAAAGACACAATAGTGTCGTGGATATCACAGAACTGACGCTTCAACAGGATATCATGCTGGCGGAGCAAAATCTGGACAAAACCAAGAATGAAAAATATGTGTCAGTAAAGCTTTAAATATCTTAATTATTAAAAGTCAAGTACAAAAGAAACAAACCCGCATTTATATATTGTCAATCTCATTTCTTTAAAGGCATATTTATTTTTCGTTTCAAAATGAAGTCGGAGATTTAACGATTTCACGAATAACTATCGATTTCTGTAGGATGATAGCGCCCATAGATATTATATGGTTATAGATTTAGGATCTCACCAGTTCTTGTTTTATCCATAATAATGCCTGGCTAAGGTCTGAGAGCCGTTCCGCAATCTTTTCAGTTCCTCGGAGATGGTCAATACTTCCTTTTCGACTATCGAGTGATCGGGACTCCTCCACTTTGTACCGCTTCGGTAGACGGACAATACCGGGAAGACTACAATGGCGAAGAGGGACGCAACTACTTTCTCGTGACGCCATAATTAAAAGTGGCCATTTTGTCAGTATATCTGAAAAAAACATATTGGGGTTTAAATGATGAAATGAAAATTTCAAAATATATACACTGGATTTGTTTCCCATTTATTGTTGAATAAATAGCTTTGTGTTAGATGCCATATTTTCATTAGTGAACTTACAGGGTAATAGAAATGGACATTAGAGTATATTTCGACAAAATAGTATACATAGTAGTTATATTTCAATCCATACAGAAATTACTGCAATTGAATTTTTTTTTTTACAAAAATCATAAGACTCCTTGAACAAATCTACACCGATTTTTGTCGCTACTATTCACGATAAGATTGTCGACAGGGATCGTATCGATTAAGATAGCACGTGCCAGCTAGATTATAGCTAGTGACCTCCTGTATAGAAAACGTACGTGTAAATACCATCACCACCTCATTAATCAGTTATGATAAGGACATGTGGGTTTACAGCGTCATTAAGGTGTGATTGAAGGTGATTAAGAGTTAATTATTTAATGAAATAATTCACTTGATGTTATCATAATCTCATAGGACTGCCTGTAGATTTCACGATACGAATGAGTGTAAAAACGCCTAGGTATGGGTTAGCTTTAGTGAACTTAGTCATGTAACAGTGTGCTAAAATTGGACTTCATAATAAAATTGTTAGATTTTAATTATGTCCTTTTTTCGATCCAAAAGCCCGTATGTGCCGCTCGGTTTTACCGAATACATGTACCCCATGTCCTCGGACTTGTGCGCGACTATATTGCCTATTTGTACGTCACCTGTCCTGTGTATATTAGACACAACTGAACTTATAGGTGCTGAAGTACATATCCATAACAAAATCATAGCTTTCTTCAATATCTATTGGTCAGGGATTTAAATTAGAACACCACCATCTTGAATTTCTTCTTGATATTTTCGGAAAAAAAAAACCGAAAATAATATCATATCAGGTAATTTCAATAGTCATAACACCAAATAGGGTAGCAAAAACAACGACAACAGTGGTGAACTTCTATCTAATTGGCTAAATGATAATGACACCTGATCCTGCTTAATGACTCCGATTCGGTTACGAAAATATACCCCATTAGTTTAGATCTAACTCTAACATCACCTGAAATAGCCACAATCCATATCTCCTGGTCCACCCACGACAGCATCTTAGGTTCAGACCACTTTCCCATACAAGCAACATTCATACTAAAACCAATCAGAAAATACTATCACCTTCCCCTTTAAATCGGTTTTCCACAAAGCTGATTGGAGCACATTTCAAAAACATTGCTCACTAATCACACATGACTCGCAGGTGGGAGGAAATTATCAAGATTAATCCCACCGAACAAAACATGAAAAACTACAGACCAGTCAGAAACAAATACAACAACATAAAGACCAGGACTGGAAAGACTTCTGCAACTCTCTTAATAACAATAGTATCAATAAAGAAATTTGGAACAAAATTACATCAGTCAGTGGTAACCCCCTAGCGATATGCCCATATTAGGTAAACATGCAGAAGGTGGGACTCATGTCGAAAAGGCAAACATTTTGGCCAATCAAATTCAAACTGCTAACAGCAATAACAACTGATCAAAACAATGTTTAGATAACAAAACAAAAAACAAAAAACAAAAAAAAAAAAAACCAACAAAACCCGATATCCTTACTGCTTTAGCTGATCCGGGTCCCAATAACATCGACGTTTATCTCCCCTTTACTCTAAACGAGTATCATAAGGCCTCAAAGCAAAAGAAAAGTACTTCAACGGACAAACTCTAGTACACAATATTTAAAAAAAATCCCACATGATATAGACATGATTATTATAGACTACATAAACCCAATGTAGAGAACAGGAAAGTACCCCAAATCCTGGAATAATGCTGAAATAATCCCCATTCTAAAACCTGGTAAGGATAAAGGAGATCCAGCATCCTATAGGTCTATAGCACTAACTTCCCACCTCTGTAAGACAATTGAAACTATGATGAATAATCGTCTAAAATACTACCTTTCATAACACAACTTAATTAGTCAAAATCAAAGAGGTTTCCGGAATCGAAGGTCCTCATTAGATTCCTTAATTAGGCTATCCCCCGATTTAAAAAAAATCACTAAGTAATAATAAACATACTCATGGCGGTCTTTCCCGATCTCGAAAAAAGCTTACTTCCTAGTTTGAGATGAGGGCCTTTTGCTATCCCTTAAAGATATAGGCATAACAGGAAGTATTGTTCAGGTTTATTACCAATTTTCTTAAGAATTTGACAATTAAAGTCAGAGTAAACAAGGAATATTTAGATAAACAAATATTATATAACGGAGTCCCCCAAGGTAGTGTAATATCCCCAACCCTAGTCAGTATCTACATATTTAAACTTGATAAAAAAACTATGAAAAGTTCGAAATAAAAGCAACTTAGGCCAGTTTGCAGATGACACCAGTGTTTGGCGCTTAGAAAACAACAATGAAAAACAAGAGTCATTGTAAAAAGAACACTAGACAAAATACAAGAACAGGCTTCAAAATTTCTAACGGTTCTAATGATAAAACAGTTGCCAAGCTATTTTGAAACGTTACAAAGTACCAAAACTTTTCTAAGGAAAAACCGAAACCAAATTTGTCAAAGAAACCAAATATTCAGGCATTCTTCATATAAAATACATAGATGTTTAAAAACGCTAAATATCTTATCTTATATCTCCGGAAAAAATCCAATTAAACTCTACAGAGTATTGGTCAGACCAATAATCTGTTAGGGATCATAGGTCTTTAATACAGCCCCAGACATCATACAACACAAAGCACTTAGGTTAGCCCTAGGTACGATCCAAAACACATCAACAGTCAGTCTCCTAGCAGAGGCTGGCGAACAGCCATTACAATGGACAACTCCGAGGTAACTCACTCATTCTCAAATACTGGGCTAGGACACAACGATTAGGCAAACACTTCCCACCACGTACACTAGTTCAACAAGCAAAAAATACAACAAATAGATAACCCGAAAAACATGACAAACCCCCTTACAATCGTTTAATACACACGCACTACTTTTCGAACATGAATTAACTATTATCCAAATTGCGGAAATTCACCATAATCCCACACCGCCTTGCAAATTAGCAGTAACTCCCCCCCCCCCCCCAAAAAAAAAATAGTTTGAAAATATTTCAGAAAACAGACAAAAAAGAAAATCCAAGAGCACCCAAAAACATTGCACAATCAATAATTGAACAAAAATACGAAAAATGCGTTAAGATAGACACTGATGGATAAAAGAACCCTACAACAGATAGAGTAGGACTAGGTATATACGCCCCAGAATTAGGCATCACACTATCCATCAGAATCACAGATACATGTTCAGTCTATATCACTGAACTAATAGCAATAGGGTTAGCTCTAAGACAGGTAGACGACATCAAACCACCAGGTGACGCTGTAATCTTATCACACAGCCCATAATCTTTACAATTGATAGAGACAGGAAATGGCACCAGGTCTAAAGAAAAACATTCAATTATGAACACATTACATATTCTACACAAACAAAAGATACCAATAGGCATAGGAACGTACCAGCACGCGTAGACATACCAGAGAACGATATGACTGATAAATTAGCAAAGAAGACACACACAATATAATGGACAAACTTTAGAGAATAACAACAACAACCTCAGGAAAGTAATATCAAATCCTACTAAAAAACAAACTTTTCGGACACACACAATAGGGAGATGGAACTATAAGAAGGCTCAGATTGGGTAATACTAAATCAAATAAAAACACCAGTAAGGTGTGTAAAGAGAAATCTCCAAAATGTCGTCACTACAACAACTTAGAAACTATAGACCACATCTTTCTCTGGTGTAACAAACATACAGCAGCACGAGAAACATTTTTTCAAGGGTTGGAGAAATAAAATATCTCTCCAAACAATATACATATACTGCTACAACCTAGCCCAGTACAACAGAAAGTCCACAAACAGTTACTACAATACCTTAATAAAATAAACTACACAGAAAACATTTGAAACACCAAATATCACAAGGGAGTTAACTCTTTCAAAACTACACACTGAATGAAAACAACAAACATGTAATATCTACAAACCACACACCTAAAGGTCCTGCGTCCAGTATAGGTTACAAATAAACGAGAACCTCAGGGTGCAAGTAATTTTGTGCCCTGGCTTGTAGCATATGGAGCCCGGTTTGGTAGGGAAATGGGGATAAAGAACTATCGATGATTTTTTTTACAGAGCAGTTTATTCAACACTGGACAAAGGGCCGTAAGACGAAATTAGAATATAAATAATAAAGAAAACTACACAAAACCACACTTTATACAACAGGTAGAATCCCAAGGACACCCAGAGAAGCTGTACCAGGGAGGATTACTACTGATCTCCCCACTCATCGGTGCATACGGACACCTCGTGAGGTATGTGGTGTCCTCCTCTGTGCCCCACCCCCGCATCCACACGACAAATAAGACACCACACAGACACCACAGAAACCTCTCAGACGGAGAATAAAATACCAAACAAGGCCAATAAATACTTAGCCTTATATCATAACTCACCCAAACTCCCCCGAGTAGTGTCTCTCACACTGCCCAAAACTCAAACATCTCCTAGGTAAATCTCAGCCTTTTATAACATTTTCTATTTCAACTTATCTTCTCTTGCCGAAAAATCTAAATCAGCACATTCACCAAATCATATATGTACATAAAAAAAGCCGGTTTAGTGAAAAAACAATTAATGAAGGAATGGAAAGGTTCAAAAGATGGGACAACTAAAACATAAAAGTTAATTGTACCAGCACTAAAACTAACTACTAACTACAGTCTGGCGGACGGGACTTTATACGGTGGCCCGTGTGAGGACTGCCCAATCTCGCATGGTAAAGATTCTCCTGTGGTTATCGGTAATAAGAGTAGACGCTTAACGTCGCCCTGGAGCCCGAATTAGCCCAAACT